CTAAATTGGGACCTATCGTAAACATCAGTGAAGATGGTGTAATTCTTTGAATTCAGAATGTAAACTACAGTTTCAATTTTATGATGTGTACCAAACAGCGCTCCATGTGTACAAAACAAATGGATGTACAATCTCAAATGTTTTACTAGAAAATGTCTGAAAAATAGTAAATTCTTAAGCACATAGTGCACATGATGAATTAATTAACCCTCTTTGAAACATGATGAGCTAGAGATGGGATTCCATATCCTGGTATTTCAGATGAGAAAATGGAAAAGGAAGGAAGTTACCAAGCTACGAGGGAGAATCTCGAGTCTTGCCTAGGTTTTAACACAGCCTGTTCATAGTCTACTCTCTCAGCTACTTCTAGCCCTGGATTAAGGTTTATATTTTTATTCTAAGAACCTGTGATTTTCCATTTGCTAGGAAGAAAAAATATCCATTTTATTTGATTTTTCCCCCCACAGGGTCTTGCTATATAGCCCAGGCTAGTCTTGATCTGGAGATCCTCATGCCTCAGCCTCCAACTGCTGAGAGATGGACACTACCATACTTGGCTTGGAAAGGCATTTCAAAAACATCTGGTTCAAGTCCCCTATTTTACAAACAAAAAACTGATTCCCAAAGGGGGGAAAATTTCTGTGTTTCAAAAAAAATTATCTTTAGGTAGTTGTACAAAGGGATTTCAATTCAGCATGTCAGTTTATGAGTACAATGCATCTTGATTAGTGTCATCCCTTCCATCTTTCTCCTAAGGGGTACATGTCTTATCTCAGACTATACAATTAAAGCCATTCAGAACCCTTGTGTATGACATAGTATCACCTATCCTTAGACTTTCTGTTCTCTTTGTTTCCAACTTGAAAATGGTCCTTTACTTACCCATTTATCCTACCTACTCAACAAACACATTTTCTTTAAATGCCTGTATCTAAGTGACAAACCTTCCCCCCACAACCACACTTAAATCCACACCCACATTTAAGTTTACTTCAACTAGATTTCAGTAAGCTTTGCTCCCAGTATGGGTATACTCTCAACAATATGCAAATTCTTCCCTGCTCACTCTTATGCTTACTTCAATCCCAGGAGTAACTAACAAAGAGAAAATGTCAGACTTTCTCCCTCTGTTCCTCCCCAACAACAACCAAAAAATCTGGCCAGATTACAACCAACTCTGTGACAGCATGAAAGCTTCTGGCTTTATGAACCACCAAAGCTAGAAATGAATTTCTGTCTGACATGTTAGGCTTTTAAATCTTGTATGTGTGCCCAGTCCAGAGATTTCTGAAAACTATGAATGAAGTGATAATCAACACTGACTATTTCATCTGTGTTAAGTACAATAAATGAGGACGAGAAAGATTTGTATTTCTACTCTTTAAAGGCAGGTACAATTTCAAGTTTCAGCAAGGTAAATTCAGAACCATCTTCAGAAAGGCCATTTGGGCCATAAAATAAAATTGAGGGGATTAAAGACAGGAGAAAAAAAGAGAATGTTAGAACATTAACCATACCAAAATGAATTGCATCTGTGAATGAAGATAGGAAAATGAAACTAAAACTGTTGAATAATTGGGGGCGGTGGGGAAGAGAGTAAATGAGAGAGTTAATCTGATTAAGGTGCTGTGTATATACACCTGTGAGATACCTGGTGAAACCTCTTTGAACAATTAGCATCCACAAAAAATGAATGCCAGGAATGTAAAACAGGCCCGGGGCGGGGTGGGGGAGGGGTAGGTACTAGTGTGAGGGAGGAGTGCAAATGGAGAGGGAGAAAGGTGAATATGGTAAAAAAAAAAAAAAAAAAAAAACTTTATATACATGTGTGGAAATGGAACAATAAAGCTTGTTGAGACTGGTTTGGTTAAAGGGTATGGAGGATGTGAAAGAGGGAGGGAGGGATTGACTCTGTCTAGGTTCATTGTATGCATATATGGGAACGTTAAACATGAAACTCCTTTGGATATCTAATTGATGCTACCATAAAATTAAGAAAAGTGAGGGAAGGGTTGGGTAGAAGAGTGAGAATGGTGAAGGAGGTGACTGATCAAGATGCATTGCAGTCATAAACTGCTTTGTTAAATGGTACTTCTTTTGTAAAACTACTTAAAACATAATAATTTTTTTAATCTGAGGGAAAAGATATGCTGTAAAAATTAGAAAAGACCCAAGTTGGTAATTGTTCTTTTGGGGTAATAAGGCAGCAGTAAACTCAAGCTACCTGGATTCACTCATGGGAAAAGACAGAAACACCAATAGTGTTTCCGCCCCACCTCCACCGCCCGACCCCTCCCTCCTCCCTCTCCCCCCCCCCCCCCCCCCCCCCCCCCCCCCCGCCCCCGCCCCGCCAAAACCACCTTTCCACTGTCTTTCAAAGGGCTCAAAACTACAATCTGGGATACATATTCCAAAGTAACCAAGAAATTCAGATTTCTTCTCCATGGCTTTGTAAGGTCTCCGTTGGTAGTTTTGGTCCCATGAGCTCACTAAGGGTCATTTTCTCAAAGAAAATATGTATTAGCATTTTCCTAACTTAAGTGGCTCTAGAACTGGAAGCATTTTGAAACCTTGTTGGATTTCTCAGTGATCTGTATGTTGGGTGATCCCTCTACCCCACTTCCTTATTTCCTCCCATCTCCCAGGCAACACTGCCAGCTGTCTTTCTGCCCACTTTCTTTCAGCTCTTAACTTCCACAAAGAGCTCCCTGCTGAATGTATAACATGACAGCAAAGTGTTCCCTTTCATGATACAGTTGATCATTTACCATATTTTCTGAAAACAGTTTGGTGACCCAGATTTATAAACCCAGAGTCAGCATCAAATCTAATCTAATCTATGTGGCTATTGAATTTGTTTGCTAACTTGGTCACTTCAACTAATTTCTCATCTGATATAGCTACTACCCTGGTGCCGGGCTTGCTGACACACTAGCTCTAGATGGTTGCTTAGAATTACTCCCCTTCTAGAGGAAGTCTCTGTTAGGTGACAGAGTTTGTGGAGGCAGGAGAGGATTAATGGGAAGTTGTGGTGATCTAGACATTCCATTATTTCCTTTTCTTACAGTCATCCTTTCCTAGGGAGGAAAGGCACTGCTTTCAAGCTCTTTCTTTTCTTTCATTTACCCCTTTAGCAGTTCCGGAGTTTGAAAACTAAAGACTTCATGCTTGTTAGGGAAACACTTAACATTTTACCATTTGAATAATAAAGCCAGGCCTTTTACTTTCATTATTTTTTCAGATGAGCTCTCACATATTTGACATAGGCCAGCTTTGGACTAAAATCCTTCTACCTATGCATCTAGCTAGGATTACAGACACCTATCAGTCCTGCCAAGCTTATTTATTGAGATAGGGTGTTTTTACCTTTTTGCTGTGGCTGGGCTTGAACTGTGCAATCCTTGATTTTTGCCTCCCAAGTAGCTGAGATTTCAGGTGTGTGCTATAGAGATGGGACCCATCTTCTCAGGCTGTTTTTATGCTGTTTAGGACTAGACACTGGTGTCCTGAACTGCATACTATTCTAGCATAAATTGCAGTAATGGGTTACTTGGAGCCATCGGTAAAACCTGCAGTGTAAGATTTCAGTAACATCGGATAGTAGAAAAACAAAGGAGGGGGTAACAATGTTCGACAAGAAATGTACTCATTACCTTACTCATGTAACAGTAACCACTCTGTACAGCATCTTTACAATAAAATAAAAATTTTAAAAAAAGATAAAAAAAGATTTCAGTAACATCATTGCTATGATTGGCTTTTAATGAGGAGATCAGTGAAAGGGCACCCACATTCTACTTTTCACCCTCAATGTCAAGAGGTTACCAGTGCTATGTCATCCTCTGGTGAGTAAGTGTACATTCCCCGTGAAAGGTGTGACCTAAATACCATCTTTCCAGACTTTTCTCAGAGTTTATAGCCCTTATTTAAGGGTAGAGCCCTCTGTTTTGGTTTTACTTAGAGCTTAACTCTTCCTAGCTGAAACATAATAGAATAAAGGCCCATACATGACAGCAAGTGCATCCTTTGTAAGAGAGAAGTGGGGGTGAGAAGTTAAACAACTCAGTCTATTCCCAAAGCATCCCCACAGCTTCTTATCTAGGTTCTGCTCACCAGTGTCCCTTTGAAAAGGAAACAGTAGTACAGGAAGGGAAGTGAAGTAGATGAATAGGAGGCTTAAGTCTAGGGTGATTCAGCTCAGAAGGAAGGAATCACTAGAATATATGAGGTCTCGAAATGCTGAGATCCTGCTAGAGGATATAGGTTGTACATCTCTGGGGCTAGCACCTATGGATGAGTCTATGCTAAATATGACTAAAGGGCTGAGGCTTCAGCCCACTTAGGCAGGTAGCAAATACTACTTTGCTTAAGACTAAGGACCAATGGGGAGCCCCTGAGGGTAGCTTTCTGGAGAGGAGAATAAATGTGCTGCTCCTCCAAGACTCTTAACCTGCCTAGGAGCTATTAATGCAAAGAGAGGTCCCACGGCAGCAGCAGTATCAGGAGGGAGCAGGTGCAGAGACTGATGATTTGCTGAACAGTGAGAACACTTCCTTTCTGGGGCTGAGGCCAGAAAACCTTTGCTAAGGAACAGTCTTGTATTCACCAAAGAGAACAGCCTGGGGACTCAGTTGGGGTTTCTCCATTTCTAACCTCTCTAATAGGCACAATATTTTTCCCTCACTGGACAGCACAGCGGAAAACAAAAAGGTAGGAAATTAAATTTTTCAAATCATTAATTCTTCTTTTCTTCTTAGAATCCACCAAACACCAAACACCAGCTGGGACCATCTTCATTGCCTACATTGCCTGTATAACCAAGGCAAGTCAAAGGCGGGAGACTGACATGTATGAAAATTTGCTTCCTTATGTTTGTTAGGTCATTTAGAAGGCACTGCCAATGCCGCTGACCTTGGGATGAACATTTGGCCCTGAAATGACATCTTTCTCTGAGAGGTGAAAGAGAAAGTGATAGAGAAGTGAACATAGAAGTTGTTTACCTTCAGCAGCTCTTTTAAAGAAGACTTTGCAGCTGCCACAAGTGAGAGCTCCATAGTGACAGCCAGAAGCTTCATCTCCACAGATCAGGCAGGTCTTCTGAGGTGGAAAGTAGTAATCGATGGGCAAAACATGGTCCCGGGCACTCTCCAAACTGGAAAGACACACACACACACACACACAAACAACAACAACAACAAGTAACATATGTCAGTGTATAGCAGAAATAAGCAAGCAGAATTTTATGGACTTTGGGAATAGCTATGCATCCATTATAATTCATTGCTTAGGTGAGTCCACATAAAACTATTTCCTGGGACTTCTTCTTATGGTGTGAACAGAAAGATTTTTGGATACCATCCAGTGATTACAGAAGTTATGTACAATTAGCCAATGGCCTGGACCTTGTCTCTATGAAATAAAGAATAGGGTTAAGGTATCTAAATTAACATGGCAGTAAGATAACATTTTTTCAGAATAATAAAATGATGTGGGACTACCTCCGTCACCTTACCACAGTTATGTGGGACATTTTGGGGGCTGTTATCCAAACACTTGGGCTCATAGTTTCCTAGGCCATGAATGGTACTTCAGAAAGTATCTAATATAACTATGTATTTTCTCAGGAGATAGGTGAATAAATTCTCTAAGTGGATGAAAAGGAGAAAAGCCAGAATGCCAATTTGAAAACCTTCATGGAATGGTAATTCTTAATATCTCAAAGTAATTAATTCAATTTGGAACAAATGTAACATGGCTCTTTCTAACCAAAGGTCAACTTTTAGCATAAACAAAAGTCATACAGATGAAAATTGCTCACACACTCAAAGGAATGCAAACTCTGCACTTATGATTACTTCTTTATCAAGGGAAATGAATAAGACCAGATGAGAGCCTATTTGCTGTGTTGGGTGATATTAGCACCCCAAAATAACTCAATGAGACAAGAATATTTTCTCATTAGCATATCCATTGAATAAATAAACTAGACGGAGTGAGAATAAGCCCAGGATGGGCTGACTCCAAGCCAAACAGTTTCTGTACCTATAGAAGTTTCTAGTACTCACCTTTACTTTCTATGGCTCTTTGATTTATCATGCTAAGCATAGTTCCCAGAATCCAAAAATGCATCAAAGAAAACTGCTCTTAAAGTTCAAGAGCAAAGAAAGCTTTCACTTAGACAAGGCTTTACAAGTATTTTATCTCCAAAAGCCAAGTTATCACTCCCAAGTTCAAGAGAAAGCACTCAGAATGTTCTGATGATAGGTAAACTTGGAGGCAGGCTATGATGGCTTGTCTCACTGCCCCCTCTGATAGGCCTTTCCCCTTCTTTCCCTAACTAGAAAGCCAGCAAAATCGGTCCATTAAATCAAGGCTATTAGGGCCATACATTTCACAGGAAAGGAACTATACAATTCAGCCAAATGTGAAGAGTCTCGCTCTTCAGTCATTTCCTTGCAATTTGTGTCCCATCCTCAGTCCTGAAGCAGTAGCAGCCAAAAATTCACAAGTTTTGTTCCATCTTTTTTGGCTTTTTAAGAAGAACGCAAATAGTACACATAAAATCTGAAGGACAGGTATTTAGGCAATCTAGATATCATTCAATTTTCACAGCAATCCTGCCTGGTGTCCAATATTTATTGCAGAATAGAAAATTGATGCTGAGAATAATTTAAGTAAACTTGTCTACGACTACACACCTTGGTAAACTGCAATGCCAGGATTGCATCCTGAGTATGTCTAACTCCAAAATGCAGGTTCTTTGTTTCTTGACCACAGAGAAATTTTGTTATGAGTTTGAAGGTTGAGATTAGGTAGTTTCATTGAGCTGAATTCCTGCCATCTAGTCCTAGATTCTACAGGATATAGTGATGATCAAGATATGTTCTTTCCTCTCAGCAAGTCATCATCTAATTCAGATGTAAGACAGGAAGGCCAAAATTGTAAAATGACACAGCAAATAATGTGCAGATTGCTGCATGATGAGGAAGCACCTCAAAGACAGGGAAATTTTTCAAAAGGCAAAAAAGATATGTTTGAAAAAGATAATGATGATAATGATGATAATTATCACATAGTTACAAAATAAATAGCAGATATACAAAATGGATGCTTGTAGTAAATAAGAAGTCCTTTGATAAAGGGCTTTGAAAAAATAGGATTGGCTAGTTGATGTTTAATTGGATATAAAGTTTCAGTTAAGCAAGATGAATGGGTTCTAGAAATCTGCTCTGCACATTATACCTATACAAAATAGTATCGTGCAGTAAAATTTTGTTATAAGGATACATTTCATGGTAAATATATATTTAAATGTTAAAGAAATATAAATTATGACCTCTATGAAAATTTTTGTGCAGCAAAATTATTGTAAATATTATAATCAAATATGTGACCCATATACCTTATACAAATATACCTTAATCAAATTGACTTTTACTAATTAAAAGTTTTGTTTTACTTAGAGACTGTCCCATAGCTTTTTCACTCAAGGCTTGTCTTCTAACACTTCTAACATAACTCCACTTCCAGATTGGGGGCAGTTAATTGTTGACAAGAGATGCATAGACTCTCTTACGCAGTCTGGCTTTGAACCTTGATCCTCAGATCTTAGCCTCCTGACTAACTAGGATTGCAAGTATGAGGTGTGAGCTACAGGTTCCCAGATTACAATTAATTCTGTCTAGTGGTCTGAGGAAATTCTGGGTCTCATTGGATAAGCTTTCATGTCTCTCTTTTTCCTTCTTCCTCTTCCCTCTCCTCTCCTCTACCTCCTGTTTTCCTTTTTCCATTTCTCCATTCAGCCTCTTTTCAATATTTTGAGCAGCACTCTCATTAACCCTGACTTAGTGTGGGCAAAAGGCATTCTGAGGTTTTTGAGTCATGGATTAACCATTTGAATTAGAAAAGAAAATTCCAACCTAGAGAAACGAACTCATATATATGTGTACCATATGTAGAAATGTTAATAGCAGTTGTTCATAAAAGCAGAAATGGTAAATGTCCACTGATGAGTATAGGAAATATAAATTATGGAATATTCATTCAATAAAATATAATTCAGCAATGACAAACAAGTGAGAAAACCTATGGATCGTTCATGGTAATGTTTTGTATTACATCTAACATACTTATAATTCTATGAAAAAAGTTCAAAAATAAGTGAAAGCAAGCAATATGTTATTAGGAACTTATTTTTTAAATCAGCAATGCAAGAGAATAATAAACTCCAAACAGAATAGACTGGTGAACTCTTGAGTGGCAGCTGAAAGCACTGAACTAAAGCAAGATTCATGTGTATTTATACGTTTTTGTATGCTGGTACTGGGGCTTGAACTCAAGGCTTCTCACTCTTCCTTAGCTTATTCACTCTAGGCTGGCTCTCTACCAATTAAGCCATACCTCCACTCCTAGTATTTTGCTGTTTAATTGGAGATCATGGGTCTCATGGACTTTTCTGCCCGCTCTGGCTTCAATCCATGATCCTCAGATCTCAGACTCATGAGTAGCTAGGATTACAGATGTGGTCACTGGCTATACATTCTTTTTTTAAATCACTAGGCCCTTTATACATAGCAGGCACCCTTCTAGATCCTGAATAAGTATAGTAGGGAACAAAACATAAAAATTTCAAGCCTTGGGGGCTGGGAAGGTGGCTCAGTGGTAGAGCAATTGCCTTGCATGCCTGAGGCCCTGGGTTCAATTCCTCAGCACCACATAAGCAAAAAGAAAAAAGCCAGAAGTGGCACTGTGGCTCAAGTGGTAGAGCACTAACCTTGAGTTGAAGGGCTGAGGGACAGCTCCCAGGCCCAGAGTTCAGGCCCCACGACAATTAAAGTAGTGTAATAAAAGGACAGCTATCAGAACAACTACAGTAAAAAAGACAAAAAAGTTCATTTTCTACATATGGTCTTGTACATCTCATTGTTACTATGGGTCATCCTGTATCCTTATTTCAGCATTTTATTTCCTTTCCCCTCCCAAAATTAGAAAAATGTATATACAAGATGCAGGACACTGGAATCAAATACAGTGACAACAGGGGACCTATGTTTCTTTGATTCTGGATTACTTAATATAATTTTTTCCAAGTTTTTCCATTTCCTAACAAATGGAGCAATGTCATTCTTTCTGATGGAGGCATAGAATTCATATATATATATAATATATAATATATTATATATATAATATATATATAATATATATATGTTATATATATATTATATATATATATAATTTTCTTGATCCATTCATTTACTGAGGGGCATCTGAGTTGGTTCCATATCTTAGCTATAGTAAATAATGGTGCAATAAACATAGTTGTGCTGGTAGCTTTAGTATGGCCTTTTTTTGTGATCTTTGGGTAAATCCTAAAAGTGGGATTGCTGGGTCATAGGGGAGTTCCATGTGGAGTCTTTTGAGGAACCTCTATATTGCCTTCCAAAGTGGTTGAACAAATTTACATTCCCACCAAGAATGCAGTAGATTTCCCTTTTGGCCACATCACCTCCAGAATATGTTGTTATTAGATTTCTTGATTATAGACATTCTAACTGGGGTGAGGTAGAATCTCAATGTTGTTTTGATTTGCATTTCGTTTGTGGCTATAGAAGTTGAGCATTTTTTCATGTGTCTATTGGCCATTCTTATTTCCTCTTCAGAGAAGTCTCTTTTTAAGTCTTTAGCCCACTTATTAATCGGGCAGATGTTTCTTTCAGGATTTGTTGTTAGGGGATTTAATTTTTGAGTTCTAAGCATATTTTAGATATGAGACCCTTGTCTGTTATATGGCTAAAGATGATCTTCTCCCAGTCTGTGGGCTTTCTGTTGATCTTGCTTGCCATGCAGAAGCTCTGCAATTTCATGCAATCCCATTTGTCCAAACTTTCTTTGATTTGTTGTGTTTCTGGGTCTTTATTAAGAAAATTTCGGCCTGTGCCAAGGAGCCCTAGAGTTTCTCCTATTCCTCCCTGTAATGTATTCAGAGTGTTTGCTTTGACTCCAAGGTCTTTGATCCATTTGGAGTTGGTGCAGGATGATATATGGAGATCTAGATTTAGTTTTCTACAGGTGTTTAACCAAGATTCATTGGCTTAGCCTTAATTCTTTGATCTATCATTTGAAATTATTTTTGTGTAGGTGAGAAGTGGTCTA